AATTCTAAAAAAAAGTATACTTTGAACTTATCACTTCATTTTCTTTTGGTTAAAAATTGGTTAAACTTATCACTTTATTTTCTCTAATATATACATATAACAATTAATAATTTATCCAAGGATTGTATCATCTGATAAATAATACTGGAGAAAAAGTGAGAAAGAATAGAGAAAAGGTAAAATGGAAGAGCAGAGAAACAAAGAGGAAAATTAAAAAAATGAATGATAACCTTCTTTAAGTGCAGCATAATCATAAATCAAAATTAACAAACAATTAATTGGTATACCGAGCATGGCGAGACGAACGTCTTCCATCCAAATATTTACCGCTACTTCGTTTTAACACTTTTTCCAAACAAACACCTTCAATTTTAGGTTTTTCATAATTTTGGATTTCTAATTTTTTATTCTTTTAAACTGCAATCAAAAGATGATGCATAAAAATATAAATGCTCAATATTACGCCATACTTTTGGACATTTATATCGAAAACAGTCATTTGTTGGATAGTTAATTAATTAGAAGATTGAAAAGTACATACCAGCAAAAGCCGATGTGAAACACATTATGATAACATCTATAAATCCTAACAACGGTTTTTGATTAATTTCAAGAATTCGATTAGCCCTATTCCGATGGCTGGCAATACCAATGCAAACCATTGTTGCCACGATATCCGAAGCATTAAAGCAGTAATGAATATCTTAATTTGATGAATTAACTGAAATTTGAAGCTTAAAATTAATTGATTGAATTTATTATTACAGTTATAATTAGCATTGATGTTATTTACAGTTAATTTATTTATTCTGACACTTCTCCTTCCTTTTGTTTACGTTCTCGTTCTTTTTTTAATCGAATTTTGAATTTTTCTTTGATCGTATATGAATACTGTTTCAGTTTTACTGGTTTGAAAAACGAACTTCAAATAGCGCAAAAAAAGATTAAATCATAATTTATACATTAGATTAAAAATTGTATTCAAATGATTGACAAAGTTATAACTGTGATTTACATGATGGAAATTATCTCCAAAACAGTGATTAATTAGTTCAAGCAAATGATATTTTAATAACTGGTAACGACTTGAAATCACGTTTGACTAATAACAATAACCACTTTAAAATTAATCATTTGAAATTGGCAAGTGATATTTTAATGAGTGACAACGACTTGAAACAATGCTTCTTATACAAAATTTAACAATATAGGCCAAGTTCTTTCACACACTCAAACTTAATTCAGGGTTATTTGGTAAATTAGAAATGAAATTTCGCTAAGCATAAAAGGAATTGATAATTGTCGAATAAAAAATTTCCTTTTTTGATTAATTTCTGAAAATTAGCTTCGTATTCAATGCTCGGTTGAAAGTTGACAAATTAAAAACTTACACAGTATGTCGTTGGTTCCAAATGTGTAAATGCAATATAATACAAATTATTTTGAATTGTATAAATCATGGCTGTTAAGCATACTTTAAGTGTTTCAGTATAATTTCCTACGATAATATTGTAGCAAGAGGAAAGATACCTAAAGAAATCATCAGAAATTTATATATGTTTAATACGTTATTTAAATTTCTATGCAATATGCAAATAAGTATCAATTTTTAAAATTATTTGAAGCTAATTTATATCAGTTTCATATTAACAATAGGATGTAAAGTTAGCAAGTTTCAGAAAAATGATTACTTTCTGAATGATGCTTCATTAAAAATAATTATAATTGAAGCAATTAAAAATTTTACCAATTCTCCAATAAATACAATTACTGTTGTAAGAAATCTTTCATCGGATATGCGATACCGTGTTGAATAAGTCAGCAATGGCATACTGTAATTATTGAATAATTTAATTAGAATTAAAAAAAGAGATTAAACAGGTTACATTTGAAGACTAAAAATAATAAAAATAAATCGATAATTTAATATTGATATCATATTCGTATTTATTCTTTTTGTTAGTATCACATAATTTTTTTCAGTTATTCTGCAATTTCTCGCATTAGAGCATAAAAGTTCGTTTTTTTTTTGAATTGAAAAGAAATTTTTTAAATATATTTCAAAGAAATTTACCATGTTTGTTGGATAACAAGTAAACAAATACCCGAAATTTTGCATAATGAATTATTATATTTATCAGCAGCAATCATTACTGCAAACCGATATGTGTAAAGAAATGAAGATTAGGGAAAATGGAAAAAAAAGACAAAATGAAATAAAGAGGTCATAGAAGACGAAGAAAAAATGACTGTCACGATTAGCAAACTTAAAAATGAATAAAACCTACAGTCAAATGAATAAAAATTAAATTGACAATAATGGCCATGAAATAAAATAATAATTTTGTGGATTTTTTAATAGGGTCCAGCTGTTCAATTTGTATCATTTAATTATATTTATTTAGATCAAAATAAATTAGGTTATCCATTTCACTCATTGATAAACTATCTATCAAACAATTGTTTAAAGAGGACAAAATGTAAAATAAATATCTTTCAAAACTAATTGTTTAAAGATCTTTCAAAAAAAAGTTGATATTGATGAAAGTT